AAAATTCTAACCATGCAATAGAGCGGGAAAAGTAATTTGAAGGACCTGGGAGTGATAATGTCAGAGAATCTCGCCTTCAATGACCACAACAATGTATCTACCTCATCCGCTTGGAAAATGATAGGATGGATAATGAGAACCTTCAAAACTAGGGATGCCAAGCCCATGATGATTCTCTTCAAATTTCTTGTGCTCTCTAGGCTGGAATACTGCTATACACTAACGGCCCCCTTCAAGGCTGTCGACATTGCAGACCTGGAGAGTGTACAAAGAACTTTCACGGCACACATAAGTGCGATAAGGCACCTAAACTAGTGGGAACGGTTGAAGATCCTTGATCTGTATTCCCTCGAACGCAGGCGAGAGAGATACATGATAATATACACTTTGAAGGCCCTGGAGGGATTGGTACCAAACTTGCACACGAAAATCACTCCCTATGAAAGTAAAAAACTCGGCAGGAGATGCAACATTCCCCCGATGAAAAGCAGGGGCGCCACGAGTACACTGAGAGACAACACAATAAGTGTCAGGGCCCCAAGACTGTTCAACTGCCTCCCTGCATACATAAGGGGGATTACCAATAGACCCCTGGCTGTCTTCAAGAAGGCACTGGACAAGCACCTAAAGTCAGTACCTGACCAACCAGCCTGTGGTTCGCACGTCAGCTTGCGTTCGGCCAGCAGTAATAGCCTGGTTGATCAGTCCGTGATTCACCATGAGGCCTGGTCTCAGACCGGGAGGCGGGGGCGTTGACCCCCGAAACCCTCTCCAGGTAAACTCCTTAAGACACCTGCTATCACTGTTCACCTAGCAGTAAGTAGGTACCTGGGTGTTAGTCACCTTACACCTGCTGTCCCTGTTCACCTAGCAGTAAGTAGGTACCTGAGTATTAGTCACCTTACACCTGCTGTCACTGTTCACCTAGCAGTAAGTAGGTACCTGGGTGTTAGTCACCTTACACCTGCTGCCACTGCTCACCTAGCAGTAAGTAGGTACCTGGGTGTTATTCACCTTACACCTGCTGCCACTGCTCACCTAGCAGTAAGTAGGTACCTGGGTGTTAATCACCTTACACCTGCTGGAGATAGAGATGATACAAGGTAGAGATGATGCAACGTAGAGATGATACAAGGTAGAGATGATACAAGGTAGAGATGATACAAGGTAGAGATGATACAAGGTAGAGATGATACAAGGTAGAGATGATACAAGGTAGAGATGATACAAGGTAGAGATGATACAAGATAGAGATGATACAAGGTAGAGATGATACAAGGTAGAGATGATACAAGGTAGAGATGATACAAGATAGAGATGATACAAGATAGAGATGATACAAGATAGAGATGATACAAGGTAGAGATGATACAAGATAGAGATGATACAAGGTAGAGATGATACAAGGTTTCTGCAATGATGTCCTGTATTTGCTGGTTTGTTTTCCTGTCACAATCACTACACCCAACTTACGCACCTAAGAAGGTCAAACCACTATACCCAACATACGCACCTAAGACCGTCAAACCACTATACCCAACATACGCACCTAAGACCGTCAAACCACTATACCCAACACACACACCTAAGATCGTCAAACCACTATACCCAACATACGCACCTAAGACCGTCAAACCACTATACCCAACACACACACCTAAGACCGTCAAACCACTACACCCAACATACGCACCTAAGACCGTCAAACCACTATACCCAACATACGCACCTAAGACCGTCAACCACTACACCCAACATACGCACCTAAGACCGTCAAACCACTACTACCCAACACACAACACCTAAGAACGTCAAACCACTACACCCAACATACGCACCTAAGACCGTCAATCCACTATACCCAAATCACACACCTAGACCGTCAAACCACTACACCCATACATACGCACCTAAGACCGTCAAACCACTATACCCAACACACACACCTAAGACCGTCAAAACCACTACACCCAACATACGCACCTAAGACCGTCAACCACTATACCAACACACACACCTAAGATCGTCAAACCACTACACCCAACTACGCACCTAAGCCCGGGTCAAACCACTATACCCAACATACGCACCTAAGACCGTCAAACCACTATACCCAACATACGCACCTAAGACCGTCAAACCACTATACCCAACACACACACCTAAGATCGTCAAACCACTATACCCAACATACGCACCTAAGACCGTCAAACCACTATACCCAACACACACACCTAAGACCGTCAAACCACTATACCCAACATACGCACCTAAGACCGTCAAACCACTATACCCAACATACACACCTAAGACCGTCAAACCACTACACCCAACACACACACCTAAGACCGTCAAACCACTATACCCAACATACGCACCTAAGACCGTCAAACCACTATACCCAACATACACACCTAAGACCGTCAAACCACTACACCCAACACACACACCTAAGACCGTCAAACCACTAACCCAACACACACACCTAAGACCGTCAAACCACTATACCCAACATACGCACCTAAGACCGTCAAAACCACTATACCCAACATACGCACCTAAGACCGTCAAACCACTATACCCAACATACACACCTAAGACCGTCAAGCCACTACACCCAACACACACACCTAAGACCGTCAAACCACTATACCCAACATACGCACCTAAGACCGTCAAACCACTATACCCAACATACGCACCTAAGACCGTCAAACCACTATTACCCAACACACACACCTAAGACCGTCAAACCACTATACCCAACATACGCACCTAAGACCGTCAAACCACTATACCCAACACACACACCTAAGACCGTCAAACCACTATACCCAACATACGCACCTAAGACCGTCAAACCACTATACCCAACATACACACCTAAGACCGTCAAACCACTACACCCAACACACACACCTAAGACCGTCAAACCACTATACCCAACATACGCACCTAAGACCGTCAAACCACTATACCCCAACATACGCACCTAAGACCGTCAAACCACTATACCCAACACACACACCTAAGACCGTCAAACCACTATACCCAACATACGCACCTAAGACCGTCAAACCACTATACCCAACATACGCACCTAAGACCGTCAAACCACTATACCCAACACACACACCTAAGACCGTCAAACCACTATACCCAACATACGCACCTAAGACCGTCAAACCACTATACCCAACATACGCACCTAAGACCGTCAAACCACTATACCCAACATACGCACCTAAGACTGTCAAACCACTACACCCAACATACGCACCTAAGACCGTCAAACCACTACACCCAACATACGCACCTAAGACCGTCAAAACCACTACACCCAACATACGCACCTAAGACCGTCAAACCACTACACCCAACATACGCACCTAGACCGTCAAACCACACTACACCCAACACACACACCTAAGACCGTCAAACCACTACACCCCAACATACGCACCTAAGACCGTCAAACCACTACACCCAACATACGCACCTAAGACCGTCAAACCACTACACCCAACATACGCACCTAAGACCGTCAAACCACTACACCCAAACATACGCACCTAAGACCGTCAAACCACTATACCCAACATACGCACCTAAGACCGTCAAACCACTACACCCAACATACGCACCTAAGACCGTCAAACCACTATACCCAACATACGCACCTAAGACCGTCAAACCACTATACCCAACATACGCACCTAAGACCGTCAAACCACTACACCCAACATACGCACCTAAGACTGTCAAACCACTACACCCAACATACGCACCTAAGACCGTCAAACCACTACACCCAACATACGCACCTAAGACCGTCAAACCACCTACACCCAACATACGCACCTAAGACCGTCAAACCACTACACCCAACACACACACCTAAGACCGTCAAACCACTACACCCAACATACGCACCTAAGACCGTCAAACCACTACACCCAACATACGCACCTAAGACCGTCAAACCACTACACCCAACATACGCACCTAAGACCGTCAAACCACTACACCCAACATACGCACCTAAGACCGTCAAACCACTACACCCAACATACGCACCTAAGACCGTCAAACCACTATACCCAACATACGCACCTAAGACCGTCAAACCACTACACCCAACATACGCACCTAAGACCGTCAAACCACTACACCCAACATACGCACCTAAGACCGTCAAACCACTATACCCAACATACGCACCTAAGACCGTCAAACCACTATACCCAACATACGCACCTAAGACCGTCAAACCACTATACCCAACATATGCACCTAAGACCGTCAAACCACTACACCCAACATACGCACCTAAGACCGTCAAACCACTACACCCAACATACGCACCTAAGACCGTCAAACCACTATACCCAACATACGCACCTAAGAAGGTCAAACCACTATACCCAACATACGCACCTAAGACCGTCAAACCACTATACCCAACACACACACCTAAGACCGTCAAACCACTATACCTAACATACGCACCTAAGACCGTCAAACCACTACACCCAACACACACACCTAAGACCGTCAAACCACTACACCCAACATACGCACCTAAGACCGTCAAACCACTACACCCAACATACACACCTAAGACCGTCAAACCACTACACCCAACATACGCACCTAAGACCGTCAAACCACTATACCCAACACACACACCTAAGACCGTCAAACCACTACACCTAACATACGCACCTAAGACCGTCAAACCACTACACCCAACATACACACCTAAGACCGTCAAACCACTATACCCAACACACACACCTAAGACCGTCAAACCACTAAAACCCAACATACGCACCTAAGACCGTCAAACCACTATACCCAACACACACACCTAAGACCGTCAAACCACTACACCTAACACACACACCTAAGACCGTCAAACCACTACACCTAACATACGCACCTAAGACCGTCAAACCACTACACCTAACACACACACCTAAGACCGTCAAACCACTACACCTAACATACACACCTAAGACCGTCAAACCACTACACCCAACAGCCACAACAACAAAGGCAGACATTACTGACGCCGTCGTCACCACTAAATAACCTCGTCAGTGCTCATCTTGCTGCGGGAGGAAGGAGATGTGTCTCGGTGCCTCCTGGAGACGGTGTCCTGGCAGTGACTGTTCACCAGCAGTGAGTGAACAGTGTTGAGAACAGTTCTGGGCGGTGTTATAAGTGTTCTTTGTGTGGGGATGGAGTGTCAGGCGGCCTGGTGGTGTTCATTTTGAACTCTTTGTTATGGTTGTTGATGTTCAGCAAGAACCACTGATGAAGGTTCATGATATTCAGCTAGAACTCTTTCTTCATGTTCACTGTTATGTTCAAGAACCCTTCATGGGCCTTCTTCATGTTCACTGTTCATCAAGAACCCTTCATAATGTTCATCATGAACCCTTCATAATGTTCATCAAGAACCCTTCATAATGTTCATCCAGAACCCTTCATAATGTTCATCATGAACCCTTCATAATGTTCATCATGAACCCTTCATAATGTTCATCAAGAACCCTTCATAATGTTCATCCAGAACCCTTCATAATGTTCATCATGAACCCTTCATAATGTTCATCATGAACCCTCCATAATGTTCATCATGAACCCTTCATAATGTTCATCATGAACCCTTCATAATGTTCATCATGAACCCTTCATAATGTTCATCCAGAACCCTTCATAATGTTCATCCAGAACCCTTCATAATGTTCATCCAGAACCCTTCATAATGTTCATCATGAACCCTTCATAATGTTCATCAAGAACCCTTCATAATGTTCATCAAGAACCCTTCATGCTGTTCATCATGAACCCTTCACAATGTTCATCCAGAACCCTTCATAATGTTCATCAAGAATCCTTCATAATGTTCATCAAGAACCCTTCATAATGTTCATCAAGAACCCTTCATAATGTTCATCAAGAACCCTTCATAATGTTCATCATGAACCCTTCATAATGTTCATCCAGAACCCTTCATAATGTTCATCCAGAACCCTTCATAATGTTCATCAAGAACCCTTCATAATGTTCATCAAGAACCCTTCATAATGTTCAAGAACCCTTCATAATGTTCATCGTGAACCCTTCATGTTCATCAAGAACCCTTCATAATGTTCATCATGAACCCTTCATAATGTTCATCATGAACCCTTCATAATGTTCATCATGAACCCTTCATAATGTTCATCATGAACCCTTCATAATGTTCATCAAGAACCCTTCATAATGTTCATCATGAACCCTTCATGCTGTTCATCATGAACCCTTCATAATGTTCATCAAGAACCCTTCATAATGTTCATCATGAACCCTTCATAATGTTCATCAAGAACCCTTCATAATGTTCATCAAGAACCCTTCATAATGTTCATCATGAACCCTTCATAATGTTCATCATGAACCCTTCATAATGTTCATCAAGAACCCTTCATAATGTTCATCAAGAACCCTTCATAATGTTCATCAAGAACCCCTTCATAATGTTCATCAAGAACCCTCATAATGTTCACCAGAACCCTTCATAATGTTCATCCAGAACCCTTCATAATGTTCATCATGAACCCTTCATGCTGTTCATCAAGAACCCTTCATAATGTTCATACAGAACCCTTCATAATGTTCATCAAGAACCCTTCATAATGTTCATCCAGAACCCTTCATGCTGTTCGTCCAGAACCCTTCATAATGTTCATCATGAACCCTTCATGCTGTTCATCCAGAACCCTTCATAATGTTCATCAAGAACCCTTCATAATGTTCATACAGAACCCTTCATAATGTTCATCCAGAACCCTTCATAATGTTCATCCAGAACCTTTCATAATGTTCATCATGAACCCTTCATGCTGTTCATCCAGAACCCTTCATAATGTTCATCAAGAACCCTTCATAATGTTCATACAGAACCCTTCATAATGTTCATCCAGAACCCTTCATAATGTTCATCCAGAACCTTTCATAATGTTCACCATGAACCCTTCATAATGTTCATCATGAACCCTTCATGCTGTTCATCATGAACCTTTCATGCTGTTCATCAAGAACCCTTCATAATGTTCATCAAGAACCCTTCATAATGTTCATCATGAACCCTTCATAATGTTCATCATGAACCCTTCATGCTGTTCATCAAGAACCCTTCATAATGTTCATACAGAACCCTTCATAATGTTCATCAAGAACCCTTCATAATGTTCATCCAGAACCCTTCATAATGTTCATCATGAACCCTTCATAATGTTCATCAAGAACCCTTCATAATGTTCATCCAGAACCCTTCATAATGTTCATCATGAACCCTTCATAATGTTCATCCAGAACCCTTCATAATGTTCATACAGAACCCTTCATAATGTTCATCCAGAACCCTTCATAATGTTCATCCAGAACCCTTCATAATGTTCATCCAGAACCTTTCATAATGTTCATCCAGAACCTTTCATAATGTTCATCATGAACCCTTCATGCTGTTCGTCCAGAACCCTTCATAATGTTCATCATGAACCCTTCATAATGTTCATCCAGAACCCTTCATAATGTTCATCATGAACCCTTCATAATGTTCATCCAGAACCCTTCATAATGTTCATACAGAACCCTTCATAATGTTCAGAACCCTTCATAATGTTCATCATGAACCCTTCATAATGTTCATCCAGAACCCTTCATAATGTTCATACAGAACCCTTCATAATGTTCATCCAGAACCCTTCATAATGTTCATCATGAACCCTTCATAATGTTCATCCAGAACCCTTCATAATGTTCATACAGAACCCTTCATAATGTTCATCCAGAACCCTTCATAATGTTCATCATGAACCCTTCATAATGTTCATCATGAACCCTTCATGCTGTTCATCCAGAACCCTTCATAATGTTCATCAAGAACCCTTCATAATGTTCATCATGAACCCTTCATGCTGTTCATCCAGAACCCTTCATAATGTTCATCATGAACCCTTCATGCTGTTCATCCAGAACCCTTCATAATGTTCATACAGAACCCTTCATAATGTTCATCCAGAACCCTTCATAATGTTCATCATGAACCCTTCATAATGTTCATCATGAACCCTTCATAATGTTCATCATGAACCCTTCATAATGTTCATCATGAACCCTTCATAATGTTCATCAAGAACCCTTCATAATGTTCATCAAGAACCCTTCATGCTGTTCATCAAGAACCCTTCATAATGTTCATCATGAACCCTTCATAATGTTCATCATGAACCCTTCATAATGTTCATCAAGAACCCTCCATAATGTTCATCAAGAACCCTTCATAATGTTCATCATGAACCCTTCATAATGTTCATCATGAACCCTTTATAATGTTCATCAAGAACCCTTCATAATGTTCATCATGAACCCTTCATAATGTTCATCATGAACCCTCCATAATGTTCAAGAACCCTCCATAATGTTCATCAAGAACCCTCCATAATGTTCATCAAGAACCCTCCATAATGTTCATCATGAACCCTCCATAATGTTCATCAAGAACCCTTCATAATGTTCATCAAGAACCCTCCATAATGTTCATCATGAACCCTCCATAATGTTCGTCAAGAACCCTCCATAATGTTCATCAAGAACCCTCCATAATGTTCATCAAGAACCCTCCATAATGTTCAACAAGAACCCTCCATAATGTTCGTCAAGAACCCTCCATAATGTTCATCAAGAACCCTCCATAATGTTCGTCAAGAACCCTCCATAATGTTCGTCAAGAACCCTCCATAATGTTCATCAAGAACCCTCCATAATGTTCATCAAGAACCCTCCATAATGTTCATCAAGAACCCTTCATAATGTTCGTCAAGAACCCTCCATAATGTTCATCAAGAACCCTCCATAATGTTCATCAAGAACCCTCCATAATGTTCATCAAGAACCCTCCATAATGTTCATCAAGAACCCTTCATAATGTTCATCAAGAACCCTCCATAATGTTCATCAAGAACCCTTCATAATGTTCATCAAGAACCCTCCATAATGTTCATCAAGAACCCTTCATAATGTTCATCAAGAACCCTTCATAATGTTCATCAAGAACCCTCCATAATGTTCATCAAGAACCCTTCATGCTGTTATTTATGGTTAATATAAGATGGTATCTATATTGAATAAGTTATTTGTTTAATATTAGATAAGTTATTTATTAAAAAATAAATAAATATTAGATATGTTATTTATATTTAATATTAGATATGTTATTTATGTTTAATATTAGATATTTATGTTTAATATTAGATATTTATGTTTAATATTAGATATTTATGTTTAATATTAGATATTTATGTTTAATATTAGATATATTATTTATGTTTGATTGTCTCATGAAAGTAATATTGCTTCTTTTTTTTTTTTAATTCGTTGAGTAGAGTTTTGTAATTCATGAAATTTAGTGTTGATCTGCCAGAGTTGCCCCACGTAAATGGGGCTGTCTTTAATATTTCCCAAAACTTACAGGAAGTCTTCGATGTAACGGAATACAGGTGGTCCTTGACTTACTGTGGTTCAACTTAGGATTTTCAACATTCCAGTGGTTCAAATTACGATATTTCAACTTTACAATGGTTCAACTTTAAAAATTTCAAATTTGTGATGGTTTGACTTTTGTATAAAACTATCATACATTAAGTGTGCAGTAGACCTAGGTCTAAAAACAAAAATAAGTTAAATAAGTTCACACATTACTTAAAAGAATTTTTGTCAGGCCAGAATAACGGAACCAGTGCCAAATAAATGAAAAATGGCTATAATTGATAATCGCCGCATTAGCAGAATGCCAAGAAGTGGAACTCCGTAAAGTGAGCTCCACCTGTACAGTGGACCCCCGGTTCACGTTATTAATCCATTCCTGAGAGCTCATCGTAAAGCAAAATTATCGGAAAGTGAATCAATTTTCCCCATAAGAAATAATGGAAATCAAATTAATCCGTGCAAGACACCCAAAAGTATGAAAAAAAAAAACTTTTACCACATGATATATTAAGTTTAATGCAATAGAATAATTACAATAACAATAATAACAATAGAATTATCACAATAGAATAATTGACACTTACCTTTAATGAAGATCTGGTGATGATTGATGGTATGGGAGGAGGGGAGAGTGTCGAAGTTTTTAATATTTAGAAGGGGAATCCCTCTCCATTAGGACTTGAGGTAGCAAGTCCTTTTCCAGGGTTACTTCCCTTCTTCTTTTAATGCCACTAGGACCAGCTTGAGAGTCACTGGACTTCTGTCGCACAATATATCTGTCCATAGAGGCCTGTACCTCTCGTTCCTTTATGACTTTCCTAAAGAGGTTCACAACATTGTCAGTGTAATAGTCACCAGCACGGCTTGCAGTAGCTGTGTTATGGTGATTTTCATCCATAAAGGTTTGCAGTTCAACCCACTGTGCACACATTTCCTTAATTTTTTAATTAGGCACAATGGATTCCACAACTGGCATAGGCTTCTCAGGGTTAGCCCCAAACCCTTCAAAATCTTTCTTAATTTCCATACTAATTCTCACCCTTTTTACCACAGGGTTGGCACTAGAAGCTTTCTTGGGGCCCATGGTGACTTATTTGGCAGAAACAAGCACCAAAAACAGTGATGATATGGATAATATGGAATGTACCGAATGTATCCTTAGATGCGCACACACTGGCTGGCTTGTAAACACTGGCACACACGGGGCAGTTCAGGCCACACGTGGACATGTCTTGTATGAATCGTATCGCGTACCGGGTTTTGTAATGGGAACCGAGGCAAATTTTTTGCGATATAGTGCTTCGGATACTGGATTTATCAGATACCGATGACTTCGCGAACCAGGGGTCCACTGTAATGTATTGGGGTCTTTATATTGAACATTTACTGTAATTTCACATCTCAGTCTACACCCTGTAAAAAATGAAATGGCCTGGAGATATTAGGACCCCCTTTGCCACGAGTTCAACCTACTACCCATTCCGTTATTTTTATTTTTGCTTTTGTGCCATTGCGATTTTGTAAGTCGGCTACACTCTGTAATTCTTTGAAAAAATTTTTTAATTTGATTTGAACTAAATTGGCAGATCAACAAGTAAATATGATGACAATAACACCATTAATAATAAATAATAATAATAATAATAATTTTAATTTCTGCAGCATACATGTTAGGTGTCCCGTGGCTGGGTTGGTAGCATACTCGCCTTACACATTGAGGTCCATGACTCGATTCCCAGTACGGGTGGAAACATTAGGACGTGTTTCCTCAAGACATCTGCTGTCCCTGTTCACCTAGCAGTGAGTAGGTACCTGGGTGTTACCTTACACCTGCTGTCCCTGTTCACCTAGCAGTGAGTAGGTACCTGGGTGTTAGTGGACTGGTGTGGGTGGCATCCTGGGGACAAAATTAACCCAAGCTGTGGGAAATGCTCTTTATAACCAAGGACTTTCTATATAGAATGTCATTGATGTCAGCTATTGTCTATATAAGTTGCATCATGTACAGTGGAACCTCAAAAATTGAACTTAATCCGTTCCAGGAGCTAGTTCTAAATTCGAAAAGTCTGAAATTCGAAGCAATATTTCCCATAAGAAATAATGGAAATACAATTAATCCGTTCCAGAAACCCAAAAATATTCACAAAAATAATACATTTTATAGAGATTAATTACAGTTTTACATACACACAACAAATGCTATAGTCTTTAATTATGTATAGTAATATAAAATAACATTTTTACTCAATTTTATTAAAGATTGGTGATGGCATCTGGAAAATAGGGAGGAGGAGAGAGGGAGTTGGGGTTATTGTTTGGAAGGAGAATCCCCCTCCATGAGGATTTTCGGTATCAAAACCCTCTCTGGGGTTGCTTCCCTTCTCTGTATTTTAATGCTTGAGAGTCATAGGACCCCAGTCTCACAAAATAACTGTCTACAGTCCTCTGTTTCTGTCTCGCAAAATAGCTATCCACCGTCATCTGTTTCTGTCTCACAAAATAACTCCACGGTCGTCTGTTTCTGTCTCACAAAATAACTGTCCACAGTCCTCTGTACATCCTGGCAAGCTCAACAAGTCCCACTCCAATCTCATACTTCTGTATTATTTCCTTCTTCACATCTATGGTGTTTCTCACTTTCTTTACCACAGGGGTACCGCTAGCAAGTTTCTTTGGGCCCATGGCAGCTTATTTCACAGCCCCACAAGCACTAAACACAATTAAATAATCGTAAAATGTGTGAATGAGATCGCAGGTTAGTGTTCGCTCAAGCATAAACAAAGCTAGACTGTTGTGATGAATGGTTTGAAAAACCGACAAGTTGAAGATTGAGACACTTATGCAGCATATGGGAATCTTTATTCAGGAAACGTTTCGCCACACAGTGGCGAAAGACCTACTTCGACTAGTGGATGGTACCACTATGACCCCGCCTCCACCTGCTTCACGTCACCTCACTACAGTATATAAGCCACGTCTACGGCCCTATGCTGTACATTCTACAAGATTGATGGACTGAACACATCGACTCCAGGTTGAGGGACTGATTACCTCATTCTCCTCCTCGCCTTCCTCTTTGTATTGGACTGATGAAGCCACTGTGTGGCGAAACGTTTCCTGAATAAAGATTCCCATATGCTGCATAAGTGTCTCAATCTTCAACTTGTCGGTTTTTCAAACCATTCATCACAACTGTCAGACACTGCAGCGTCATGGGATCTTGTTACAAAGAATTCTTCAACACTTGTTCAACCTTTGGACGAAGACCTACTTCGACTAGTGGATGGTACCACTATGACCCCGCCTCCACCTGCTTCACGTCACCTCACTACAGTATATAAGCCACGTCTACGGCCCTATGCTGTACATTCTACAAGATTGATGGACTGAACACATCGACTCCAGGTTGAGGGACTGATTACCTCATTCTCCTCCTCGCCTTCCTCTTTGTATTGGACTGATGAAGCCACTGTGTGGCGAAACGTTTCCTGAATAAAGATTCCCATATGCTGCATAAGTGTCTCAATCTTCAAAGCTAGACTGCTCACGGTGCCTGCGCGGGGACGCGGACAGAGCGGGCCAGCGGACAGGTCCCGTACCTGGCGGTCCGAAATTTGAAACGCGTTTGATTTTTGGTACACAGTTTGTCCGAAAAAATGGTCTTATTTTCAAAACATTCGATATTTGGTACGTTCGATTTTCAAGGTTCCACTGTACTTGTAGAAATAAATATTATTATTATTGTTAATCTTTCTTTCGTTCAACACACCGGCCGTATCCCACTGAGGCAGGGTGGCCCAAAAGAAAAAATGAAAGTTTCTCGTTTTATATTTAGTAATATATACAGAAGAGGTTACTAGCCCCTTGCTCCCAGCATTTTAGTTGCCTCTTACGACACGCATGGCTTACGGAGGAAGAATTTTGTTCCATATCCCCATGGAAAATTATTGTTAATATTTTTATTAAAATATTGTTAGGTACATTCACTGTATAATCACTGACCTCTCTCAATTCTTACAGAAACCTGGCTTAGTGATTGGTTAAAAAATTTTAGGCCCTGGTTCGGAATCGGGTAAATTCCTATCAGTGGCCTAGACCAGATCATTGATTGTTATCCAGCAAAACTACATGCGAGTCCAACTACATTATTACAGTCATCTCCTGTAGGAAGCAACTACAGGTCTCCCTCAACATTCGCGTTTTCAACTTTCGAGGGCTTCACACATTCGCGAATTCCAAACCACCAAATCATATTTATGTTGAGGACTTTGAAGTTGATGAACGACATTGATAGAGGCATAATTCCCTACAAAACTGTTTGTAAATATGAAGAAATGGTCTCAGTTCCCCATCACAATGTTCCTCACTACAATGTTCCTGCCACTACAGTCCCCATCCCTTTACCCAAGGTCCTATGTATGCTAAAACCTTGGGTAGTTTCAAATACATGAGTGAGAGGGGTTGGATTTGAGTGGGACTTGCACGTGAGTAAATTGAATTATCAAATAGTATTGCTTGGGTAGCGTTTATTCTGTTAGTGGGTTGGATTTGTGAAGGACCTGCCAAGTATGGGCCAACAGGCCTACTGCAGTGTTCCTCCTTTATGTTCTTAGGTTGATGAGTGGAACAGTCTGTCTAGTATGGTTATAACACCATACAAACATAAGAAAGGAGTAACAATGCAGTAGGCCTGATTTCCCCTTACTAGGCAGGTCCTTCACAATCCTTCCCATTAGCAGAATAAATATTCAGCTACCCATGCAATAAGAACATAAGAAAGTAATAAATCTTTTTCTTTTTTTGTGAATAAGAATTCAAAATGGAAAGAAAGTGTAATATAGGTGAGGCCAGAGGACATGACTAATGAACAATAGAAATGTTGTTTTAGTGCCAGAAATGTCTATACTGTTTATCCTGAACCCTTTTTGGACATTTTGCATTTTTTTTTTAATTTTGTGTGGAATTAGTCAAAAACCAATTTCTGGTCACTTGATTGGATGGTTGAAATAGTTGAACAGGTGGTTTCTTGTACTCAATCCATAGATGGAAAAGCATACTAGCAAAATAGGTAAGAATTTGGTTGACTGGGACAATGGCATTGGCCTAAAATAAGACTTTTAATTGGGCAAAATCACAGGTGAGTAAATTACACCAAGACTGCTAACTTTGCACCAGCATAATTCCCTAAGTTTTCCATTAAATTTTATACTTTTGGCATCAATACCATCAAAAAGAAATTCTCTACCATTTCAGGGCTTTTTTTTTTGGGGGGGGGGGGGGCTTTTGGCCATTGAGATTTTGGTGATCTGGACAATGAATGGGTTAATTATCAGGACAACCTATACCATGACCAGTTATTTTTGGTAATAATTTATTATCCAAGAAATAGGGTAAAACTTGTATTTCTTGTGATGAATTCAAAATAATACCCAGGATGCAACCCACACCAGTCAACTAACACCCAGGTATGTACTTACTACTAATTGAACAAGGATAACAGGTGTAAGGTGATTTAACACTCAGGTACCTACTGCTAGGTGAACAGGGACAGCAGGTGTCTTAACCCTTTCAGGGTTCAGACCCCTGATCTGGAAATTGTCTACAGGGTCCAAGAATTTAAAAAAAAAAAAATTATGGTATAGAATCTTTTTCTGAAGGTAATAAAGCAAAAAGTACAAAATTTGATGGAAAATTGATGAAATTACACTTTCACAAATTTTGTCGTGTCAGTGATGTTTACGTATCAGCGATTCTGCCCACTTTGAGTCTTATTTTAGGACAATTACATTGCTCCAGTAGGCCAAACCCTTAGTTACTTTGCTAATATGTCTTCCATTTTTATCAACTGAGCACAAGACACCACCCAATCAACTATTTTGACTATCCAATAAAGTGATTTGGCCAATTTCACATAAATTTCAAAATATGCCAATTTCAAAATAGGGCCCATAAACAATGCAGACATTACTGGCACTAAAATAACATTTCCTCTGTTCATTAGTTACATTTCCAGGATTTACACGTGAATTCCATTTTGAATTTTTATTCACACAAATAGATTTACTGTTATGCATTATTGTAATTATCATATAAATAATGTCAGCACATTCATGAACGCATATTAGACCCACCAGTTGGATACATATTAGACCCACCAGTTGGATACATATTGGACGAGTGACAATTTGTTTACTCTGGATTATTGAAAAAATTTAACATTTCTGCTATTTAGAGCTTAATTTCAAACTATTTTCAGTCCTAAAATCCATTAAAATCATCTCTATTTCTGTAATATGTCTTCCATCCTATCAAATAAGACCAAGAAACTGAATACAACCATAAAATCCGTATGAAAATACGTACATTGCAAAGTCGCTCTTTTAAACCATAAATACGGTTGCAGTTTTTTCTCATGCACTGCGTCCTGCAGGATTTTTTTTTTACATGGTTCGGTTCCCAGTACAGGTAGAAACATTACGACAAGTTTCCTTAACCCTTTCAGGGTCCGTCCCGTAGATCTACGGCTTTATGTTCAGGGTCCAAACCGTAGATCTACGCCATGAGCTCAGCTCACTCTGATAAACTGTGAGTGGTACATTTGGGCCTAGATATGAGAGAATACATCTATGTGGTATGTGTGCACCACATAAAACAGATCCTGCAGCACACTGTGTATAATGAGAGAAAAAAATTAAATCATGATTTTTCGATTAAAACAGCGACTTTGCAGTGTTTTTTCGTATGTTTTTTATAGTTGTATTTGCGATTTCTTGGTCTCATTTGATAGAATGGAAGACATATTACAGAAATAGAGATGATTTTGATTGGTTTTAGCACTGGAAATGGCTTGAAACTGAGCTCAAAGTAGCAGAAATGTTAAATTTTTGCCGATATTCAAGAGTAAACAAACGACCTCACACGTCTAATACACGTCAGCTGGTGGGTCTAATATACATTCACAAATATGGTGATGATATTTATACAATTATTACAGTATTGCATAACAGTAAATCTTCTATTTTTTGGTGTGAATAAAAATTCATTATGTGAATAAAAAATCAAAATGGAATTTATTTGTAAAGCCTCAAAACATAACTAATGAACAGAGGAAATGTTAGTTTAGTGCCAGGAATGCCTACATTGTTCATTCTGGACCCTATTTTGAAATTGGAATATTTTGAACTTTGTGTTAAATTGGCCAAATTAACAATTTCCGATCACTTTATTTTGTAGTTGAAAACAGTTGACTTGGCGATTTCTTGTGCTCAATCGATAGAATAGAAGTAATACTAGTGAAATAGCTAAGAATTTGGTTGATTGGAATAATGTAATTGGCCTAAAATGGGAGTCAAAGTCGGCAAAATCGCCGATTCGTAAATATCGCTGACACATCAAAATTTGCGAGAGCATAATTTCGTCAATTTTCCACCAAATTTCGTACTTTTTGTTTTATTACCTTCACAAAAAGATTCTCTACGATTTCATAAGAAAAAATAACAAATTTTTTTTTTGAAAATTCTTGGACACTGGTGCGTGACTCCAGATTTGGGCCTTGGACCCTGAAAGGGTTAAGACACCTGCTGTCCCTGTTCACCTAACAGTAAGTAGGTACCTGGGTGTTAGCTGACTGTTGTGGATGGTATCCTGGGGTGTGGTAGTATACCTTAGAGCTGGTCTTTGAAATGAGCTGAGGTTCGATAACAGCTGTTGGCTTGTAAAATTGGTTTGTGTATAAAAAAAACTACCTAACTATTGTTTGTGATAGAACTCTGATATCTGTTGTTGTTAACCAGAATTCTTTTGTTTCAGAAGGCCTTCTGCTATGAAATTTTGGGAAAAATGGCATTTGTCTGAAATACAGTGACTTGGTGTAGGTAGAAGGTATAATATAGCCTGTGAACACATAGAAGGTGTAATATATATTAAATATATTAAGTTCATTAATTCTTCCCAGCCTTAAAACAAGCAGTTACTTCACTGAACATAATACAGCCTCTCCTCGCTTAACAACAGAGTTGCGTTTCTAAGACCACATTGGTAAATGAATTCGTCGTTAAGCAAGGAGCATACAGTGGACCCCCGCTTAACGATCACCTCCAAATGCGACCAATTATGTAAGTGTATTTATGTAAGTGCGTTTGTACGTGTATGTTTGGGGGTCTGAAATGGACTAATCTACTTCACAATATTCCTTATGGGAAAAAATTCGGTCAGTACTGGCACCTGAACGTACTTCTGGAATGAAAAAAGTTCGTTAACCGGGGGTCCACTGTATTATAATGGTAGCGGCTTTGTGTCGACCATCTTTGATACTGTTTTAATGTCACCTTTACATCATTTGTAACATTTTTAGTATATTTTTAATTGTTTATACAGTAGTGTACTGTATATTGTAAACAGAATAGAGGAAATCAACTCTAATGTACATTATTTAGGTTTGCATACTGGTCAGAGAGCCCGTCCTAAATCCAAGGCATCGGACTTACAACGGACTACTGTAGGGCCAGACTTATACGGCAGGTTAGGTTCTGGGCTACTGTATGGCCCTGCTTATACAGCAGGTTAGGTTCAGGGCTACTGTAGGGCCCTGCTTATACAGCAGGTTAGGTTCAGGGCTACTGTAGGGCCCCACTTATACAGCAGGTTAGGTTCTGGGCTACTGTATGACCCTGCTTATAAAGCAGGTTTGGTTCAGGGCTACTGTAGGACCCCACTTATACAGCAGGTTAGGTTCTGGGCTACTGTATGACCCTGCTTATACAGCAGGTTAGGTTCAGGGCTACTGTAGGACCCCACTTATACAGCAGGTTAGGTTCTGGGCTACTGCATGGCTCTGCTTATACAGCAAGTTAGGTTCAGGGCTACTGTAGGACCCCACTTATACAGCAGGTTAGGTTCTGGGCTACTATAGGGCCCTGCTTGTACAGTAGGTTAGGTTCCGGGCTACTGTAGGGCCCCACTTATACAGCAGGTTAGGCTCCGGGCTGCTGCTGTTAAGTGAAATTTGCTGTAAAGTGAAAAACAGCCTTTTTTTTCACTTTCGAATATATATAAAAGCCTAATACAGTAATATGTTTACACTATCATATATTAAGTGAACCATAAAGCTAGGCCTAAAAAATGCATATGCAGTACGCACACTACTTGCCTTAAAATATTTAAATTTTTAGCTTATAGCGAGTGCTGAATATATTTATTATAGCAAGTCTGAATAAATGAAGAATGGCTATACAGTGGACCCCCGCATAGCGAACTTAATCCGTGCAAGAGGGCTGGCCGTTATGCGAAATGTTCGCTATGCGAATTAATTTTCCCCATAAGAAATAATGGAAATAAAATTAATCCGTGCAAGACACCCAAAAGTATGAAAAAAAATTTTTTTTACCACAAAAAAATGTTAATTTTAGTACACACAAACTGAAAAAGGCATGCACAATTACATGACACTTACTTTTATTGAAGATCTGGTGATGATTGATGGGATGGGAGGAGGGGAGAGAGAGTGTTAGTGTTTAGAAGGGGAATCCCCTTCCATTAGGACTTGAGGTAGCAAGTCCTTTTCTGGGGTTACTTCCCTTCTTCTTTTAATGCCACTAGGACCAGCTTCAGAGTCACTGGACTTCTTTCGCACAACATATCTGTCCATAGTGGCCTGTACCTCTCGTTCCTTTATGATTTGTCTAAAGTGGTTCACAACAGTGTCATTGTAACAGTCACCAGCACGGCTTGCAATAGCTGTGTGAGGGTGATTTTCATCAAAAAAGGTTTGCACTTCAAGCCATTTTGCACACATTTCCTTAATCTTTGAAGTAGGCAATTCCTTCAATTTCTCTCTCCCCTCCTTTGAACCAGTTTCCCCAGGTCTGGCCTCTTGCTCTTGAAGTTGATCTATCAGCTCATCAGTGGTTAGTTCTTCATTGTCCTCCTCCACCAACTCTTCCACATCCTCCCACTAACCTCCAACCCCAAGGACTTCCCCAATTCCACAATTGATTCCTCAACTGGTATACTACTCCTCTCAGGGTTAGCCTCAAACCCTTCAAAATCCCTTTTGTCTACACATTCTGGCCACAGTTTCTTCCAAGCAGAGTTCAAGGTTCTCTTAGTCACTCCCTCCCAAGCCTTACCTATAAGGTTTACACAATTGAGGATATTAAAGTGATCCTTCCAAAACTCTTTTAGAGTCAATCGAGTGTCTGTGGTCACTTCAAAGCACTTTTGAAACAGAGCTTTTGTGTACAGTTTCTTGAAGTTGGAAATGACCTGCTGGTCCATGGGCTGCAGGAGAGGAGTGGTATTAGGAGGCAAAAACTTCACCTTAATGAAGCTCATGTCCCCATAAAGTCGCTCTGCCACGTCTGTAGGATGACCAGGGGCATTGTCTAACACCAGGAGGCACTTAAGGTCTAATTTCTTTTCAGTTAGGTAATCTTTCACATTGGGGGCAAATGCATGGTGTAACCAGTTATAGAAAAATTCCCTAGTGACCCATGCCTTACTGTTTGCCCTCCACAGCACACACAAATTATCCTTGAGGACATTCTTTTGCCTGAACGCTCTGGGAGTTTCAGAGTGATACACTAATAAAGGTTTAACTTTGCAATCACCACTAGCATTGGCACACATCAACAAAGTAAGCCTGTCTTTCATAGGCTTATGTCCTGGGAGTGCCTTTTCCTCCTGAGTAATGTAGGTCCTGCTTGGCATTTTCTTCCAGAACAGGCCTGTTTCATCACAATTAAACACTTGTTCAGGTTCCAGTCCTTCAGTTTCTATGTACTCCTTGAATTCATGCACATATTTTTCAGCCGCTTTGTGGTCCGAACTGGCAGCCTCACCATGCCGTATCACACTATGGATGCCACTACGCTTCTTAAATCTCTCAAACCAACCTTTGCTGGCCTTAAATTCACTCACATCATCACTAGTTGCAGGCATTTTTTTAATTAAATCGTCATGCAACTTCCTAGCCTTTTCACATATGATCGCTTGAGAGACGCTATCTCCTGCTAGCTGTTTTTCATTTATCCACACCAATAAGAGTCTCTCAACATCGTCCATCACTTGCGATCTTTGTTTCGAAAACACAGTTAAACCTTTGGCAACAACAGCTTCCTTGATTGCCGTTTTCTTGCCCACAATAGAAGAGATGGTTGATTTTGGTTTCTTGTACAACCTGACCAGGTCGGTGATACGTACTCCACTTTCATACTTATTCAATGATCTCTTTCTTCATTTCAATGGGTATTCTTACCCTTTGAGGTGTAGGGTTGGCACTAGAAGCTTTCTTGGGGCCCATGGTCACTTATTTTCCAGAAACAGCACCGAAAACACTGTAATAATACGAAATATTCCGAGTGTATGCTTGAATGTTACCGCGGAGGCTGGCTGGTAAACAATGGCACGGGCGGCACATGTGAGGCTGGCTGAGGGCGCACATTGGACGCGTCTCGGACGAAGGCCGCTGAGCGGGTTTTTGTCCACTATGCGGGGCAAAATTTTAGCGAACAAAGCGTCCGCTATGCGGATTGTTCGCTATGCAAGGCGTTCGCTATGCGGGGGTCCACTGTAATTCAAATTGACTACATTAGTGAAATGCCGTAAAATGAAGCACTGTAAAACTGGGCCCTCATGTACCGCACATAATTGTACATGCAATACTTCTGTATGATTAGCAGTGCAGGTTTGTTTACACCATCACATATGTGGTCTGTCATTCAAAGTTCAAAGTTCAAAGTTTATTCTCTATAAGGATTACAATGCTGAGTTTACAGAAATTTGGTTATTGTGTGGTTTACATGTTGTAAAATAGTGATTACAGAGTGTAACACTAGAACATTTAGCATGGTTAGGCATTTCGGGCAGACTTAGTTTTATTCTTAATTGTAAGATATTACAAATTATGAGGTAAGTTGGTATTATGGCTAAGTGACTAAATACTAGTTTGTGAGTTTAGCAATGTGAATGCTTTTGTTTTGGCACAGTATATAGTTTCAGTATTGGAGTATCACAGGATTCATTGAAATGTCATTATGCATCACACGACTATACTGCATTGTACCACTTCCGTTTTTTTTTTCAGAATACAATGTGTGCAGGATACATTATATTTCGGATACCTTTCAATAGATGTTCTCAGAATGATCCTAGTGTTCAGGTTTATCTGTTACAGGTAAACATTACTCTGGTAGTAAAACAGTACACAGTGGTAGCGCCCAGTGTTGTCAAACTGCTGTAAATGAGACAACGACCAGCTTCGTCTAACTTCTGTGAATGAGTGTAAACAGCCGGTGTCAGCCCTGAGTGTTGCACAGCCAACAACAACATGTGAAAGGTAATCTGCTTGTTTATAATTAAGTCTTGACTACTGACTTACTTAACCCTTTCACTGTGCCTCATGTAGAACTACATCATTGATGTCAGGGTCCCTCATGTAGAACTACATCATTGATGCCAGGGTCCCTCATGTAGAACTACATCATTGATGCCAGGGTCCCTCATGTAGAACTACATCATTGATGCCAGGGTCCCTCATGTAGAACTACATCATTGATGTCAGGGTCCCTCATGTAGAACTACATCATTGATGCCAGGGTCCCTCATGTAGAACTACATCATTGATGCCAGGGTCCCTCATGTAGAACTACATCATTGATGTCAGGGTCCCTCATGTAGAACTACATCATTGATGCCAGGGTCCCTCATGTAGAACTACATCATTGATGTCAGGGTCCCTCATGTAGAACTACATCATTGATGCCAGGGTCCCTCATATAGAACTACATCATTGAAATGGAAATGGATAACATGCCCACTCACTCAGCACCTGGACCAGATTCATGGAATGCTCTATTTATAAAGAAGTGCAAAGTACCACTAGCACGAGCCCTCAGTATTCTTTGGAGAAAGAGCTTAGATCTAGGTGAAATACCGGAGGCCTTAAAGAGTGCAGACATAGCTCCTTTGCACAAGGGAGGTAGTAGAGCACTAGCTAAAAATTACAGACCAGTAGCCCTAACCTCTCACATCATAAAAATCTTCGAAAGAGTGATGAGACGACAGGTTACAAATTTCATGGACCAGCACAACTAACATAACCCGAACCAGCATGGTTTTAGAGCAGGACGATCATGTCTGTCACAGCTGCTGAACCATTATGACGGGATTACAGAGGCACTGGAAGATGACCAAAACGCAGATGTAATTTACACAGATTTTGCAAAGGCGTTTGACAAATGCGATCATGGAGTGATAGCATACAAAATGAAGGCCATGGGTATTAGCGGGAAGGTAGGCAGATGGATTTTCGGTTTCCTAACACACAGAACACAAAAAGTAGTAGTGAACAGGGCAAGATCCAGCATCAGCGAGGTCAAAAGCTCAGTGCTCCAGGACACTGTCCTGGCACCTCTGCTGTTCCTCATCCTCATGGCAGACATAGACAAAAACATCCGGCACACTTTTGTATCATTTGTAGATGACACTAAACTAAGCATGAAAGTCAGTACAGTAGAGGACACTGAAAAAGTACAGGAAGATATAAACAGGGTTTTCCAGTGGGCAGTGGAGAACAACATGATGTTCAATGGTGATAAGTTCCAGCTGCTTAGGCATGGAAAGAATGAAGAACTCAAAAGGAGCACTATATACAAAACTCAAGAGGGTCACCAAATAGAACGTAAGGAACACGTAAAAGACCTAGGAATAATTATGTCAGCGGGCCTTTCTTTTAAAGACCATAACAAGACAAAGATCACGACAGCCAGGAAGATGACGGGGTGGGTATTGAGAACTTTCAAAACAAGGGAAATAATGCCGATGGTGACACACTTCAAATCGCTAGCGCTCCCTCACTTAGAGTATTGCTCAGTGCTGACGGCCCCGTTCAAGGCAGGAGAAATATCGGAGCTGGAACAAATACAGAGATTGTTTATGGCTCACATTGAGCCAGTAAAGCACCTAAACTACTGGGAACGCCTGCAAGTCTTGAACATGTACTCATTGGAGCGGAGGAGAGAGAGGTACATGATAATATATACCTGGAAGGTACTCGAGGGCTTGGTCCCAAATCTGCACACTGCCATAACAACATACTGAAGTGAGAGATATGGGAGGAGCAGGGGTGCGGTGGGGACAATAAGGGAACACTGTATCAACATCTGGGGTCTCAGACTTTTCAACTTCTTACCAGAAGATATCAGAAACACTGCTGGAACAAGTGTAGAAGCCTTCAAGAGGAAACTGGACAAGTATCTTCACCAGGTGCCAGATCAACCAGGCTGTGATGGATATGTGGGGCAGTGGGCCTCCAGCAACAACAGCCTGGTTGACCAGGCAAGCACCAGACGAGCCTGGCCCATGGCCGGGCTCAGAGAGTAGACAAACTCTCGAAACTCTTCAAAGGTATATCAAAGGTATGTCCTTCATGTAGAACTACATCATTGATGTTGGGATACTTCATGTAGAACTACATCATTGATGTCAGGATCCTTCATGTATTACTACATCATTGATGTCGGGATCCTTCATGTAGAACTACATCATTGATGTCGGGATCCTTCATGTATTACTACCTTGGAAGGTATCCCCTGCAGATACAAGGGTCATGTCCTTGAATGATATTCCCAGGGATACAGGGGTTAGGTCCTTTGAAGGTGTCCCCAGGGATACAGGGGTCAGGTCCATGGAAGGTATCCCCTGGCGATATGGGGGATCAGGTCCTTGGAAGGTATCCCCTGCAGATACAAAGGTCAGGTCATTGAAAGATATCCCCAGGGATACTGGGGTTAGGTCCTTTGAAGGTGTCCCCGGGGATACAGGGGTCAGGTCCATGGAAGGTATCCCCCGGGGAAATGGGGATCAGGTCCTTGGAAGGTATCCCCCGGGGATACAGGGGTCAGGTCCTTGGAAGATATCCCCCATGAATACAGGGGTCAGGTCCTTGGAAGGTATCCCCCACGGATGCAGGGGTCAGGTTATTGGAAGGTATCCCCTGCGGATACAGGGGTCAGGTCCTTAGAAGTTATCCCCGGGGATACAGGGTTCAGGTCCTTGGAAGGTATCCCCCGCAGATACAGGGGTCAGGTTATTGGAAGGTATCCCCTGCAGATACAGGGGTCAGGTCCTTAGAAGGTATCCCCGGGGATACAGGGGTCAGGTCCTTAGAAGGTATCCCCGGGGATACAGGGGTCAGGTCCTTGGAAGGTATCCCCGGGGATACAGTGGTCTTACTGTATATAGTATACTTTATAATTGTTATTATGTATTTTTCTACTATTTTGGTCTTGTTAGGTAAGACACATATGCAACAGTTAGGTATCTTTATTTCGAAATGTTTCGCCTACACAGTAGGCTTCTTCAGTCGAGTACAGAAAAGTTGATAGAAGCAGAAGATACTTGAAGACGATGTAATCAGTCCATCACCCTTAAAGTTTTGAGGTGGTCAGTCCCTCAGACTGGAGAAGAACATTGTTCCGTTGTCTGAAACAATATTGTTTCAGACTATGGAACAATACTCTTCTCCAGACTGAGTGACTGACCACCTCAAAACTTTAAGGGTGATGGACTGATTACATCGTCTTCAAGTATCTTCTGCTTCTATCAACTTTTCTGTACTCGACTGAAGAAGCCTACTGTGTAGGCGAAACGTTTCGAAATAAAGATACCTAACTGTTGCATATGTGTCTTACCTAACAATCTGTCGGTATTTTATACCATTTTAATGTTTATTTTGGTCTTCTATAGCCATGTGTAATGAATATTTATAATAACAATTATTTTAGTGTAGATACCCCTCAAAATATAGAAATTATTCATCTTGGCTTTATTGGGTTATCTTGCCTTATATATCTAGTGTGTTTTGTGGCTAAATTCCACTGTTAGTATCATGAAATTGTAATAAATATGGAATGAATAAGCCATCTTTGAGCCACTTGTGTAGCCTGTTTGCTGGTAGGTGAGCTGGCAGTTGTGCTACAGCTCCTGGGTCCTTTGTTTACTTTTGTTAGTGAGGCGTACTGGTATGTCAGACACAGTACTGGCACCTGCGTATGTACTAGTACGTCGGACACAGTACCAGCATACGTCGGACACAGTACCAGTGTACATGTACTAGTACTTTGGACACAGTACCAGTGTACATGTACTAGTACTTCGGACACAGTACCACCGCCTGAGTACTAGTACATCAGACACAGTACCACCACCTGTGTACTAGTACATCAGACACAGTACCACCGCCTGAGTAGTACATCAGACACAGTACCACCACCTGTGTACTAGTACATCAGACACAGTACCACCACCTGCATACTAGTACATCAGACACAGTACCACCACCTGTGTACTAGTACATCAGACACAGTACCACCACCTGCATACTAGTACATCAGACACAGTACCACCACCTGAGTACTAGTACATCAGACACAGTACCACCACCTGCATACTAGTACATCAGACACAGTACCACCACCTGTGTACTAGTACAGTGGACACAGTACCACCACCTGTGTACTAGTACATCAGACACAGTACCACCACCTGTGTACTAGTACATCAGACACAGTACCACCACCTGTGTACTAGTACAGTGGACACAGTACCACCACCTGTGTACTAGTACATCAGACACAGTACCACCACCTGTGTACTAGTACATCAGACACAGTACCACCACCTGTGTACTAGAACATCAGACACAGTACCACCACCTGTGTACTAGTACAGTGGACACAGTACCACCACCTGTGTACTAGTACATCAGACACAGTACCACTACCTGTGTACTAGTACAGTGGACACAGTACCACCACCTGTGTACTAGTACAGTGGACACAGTACCACCACCTGTGTACTAGTACTTCAGACACAGTACCATCACCTGCATACTAGTACATCAGACACAGTACCACCACCTGTGTACTAGTACATCAGACACAGTACCACCACCTGTGTACTAGTACATCAGACACAGTACCACCACCTGTGTACTAGTACATCAGACACAGTACCACCACCTGCATACTAGTACATCAGACACAGTACCACCACCTGCATACTAGTACATCAGACACAGTACCACCGCCTGAGTACTAGTACATCAGACACAGTACCACCACCTGCATACTAGTACATCAGACACAGTACCACCACCTGCATACTAGTACATCAGACACAGTACCACCGCCTGAGTACTAGTACATCAGACACAGTACCACCACCTGCATACTAGTACATCAGACACAGTACCACCACCTGTGTACTAGTACATCAGACACAGTACCACCACCTGCATACTAGTACATCAGACACAGTACCACCGCCTGAGTACTAGTACATCAGACACAGTACCACCGCCTGAGTACTAGTACATCAGACACAGTACCACCGCCTGCATACTAGTACATCAGACACAGTACCACTACCTGTGTACTAGTACATCAGACACAGTACCACCACCTGCATACTAGTACATCAGACACAGTACCACCACCTGTGTACTAGTACATCAGACACAGTACCACCACCTGTGTACTAGTACAGTGGACACAGTACCACCACCTGTGTACTAGTACATCAGACACAGTACCACCACCTGTGTACTAGTACATCAGACACAGTACCACCACCTGTGTACTAGTACATCAGACACAGTACCACCACCTGTGTACTAGTACATCAGACACAGTACCACCGCCTGAGTACTAGTACATCAGACACAGTACCACCACCTGCATACTAGTACATCAGACACAGTACCACTACCTGTGTACTAGTACATCAGACACAGTACCACCACCTGCATACTAGTACATCAGACACAGTACCACCACCTGCATACTAGTACATCAGACACAGTACCACCACCTGTGTACTAGTACAGTGGACACAGTACCACCACCTGTGTACTAGTACAACAGACACAGTACCACCACCTGCATACTAGTACATCAGACACAGTACCACCACCTGTGTACTAGTACAGTGGACACAGTACCACCACCTGTGTACTAGTACAACAGACACAGTACCACCACCTGTGTACTAGTACAGTGGACACAGTACCACCACCTGTGTACTAGTACAGTGGACACAGTACCACCACCTGTGTACTAGTACTTCAGACACAGTACCACCACCTGTGTACTAGTACATCAGACACAGTACCACCACCTGTGTACTAGAACATCAGACACAGTACCACCACCTGTGTACTAGTACAGTGGACACAGTACCACCACCTGTGTACTAGTACATCAGACACAGTACCACCACCTGTGTACTAGTACATCAGACACAGTACCACCACCTGTGTACTAGTACATCAGACACAGTACCACCACCTGTGTACTAGTACATCAGACACAGTACCACCACCTGTGTACTAGTACATCAGACACAGTACCACACCTGTGTACTAGTACATCAGACACAGTACCACCACCTGTGTACTAGTACATCAGACACAGTACCACCACCTGTGTACTAGTACATCAGACACAGTACCACCACCTGTGTACTAGTACATCAGACACAGTACCACCACCTGTGTACTAGTACATCAGACACAGTACCACCACCTGTGTACTAGTACATCAGACACAGTACCACCACCTGTGTACTAGTACATCAGACACAGTACCACCACCTGTGTACTAGTACAGTGGACTCTCAGTTTACGATATTATATCATTCCAGAAGTATGTTCAGGTGCCAGTACTGAACGAATTTGTCCCCATAAGGTATATTGTGAATTAGATTAGTCAGTTTCAGACCCCCAAACATACACATACAAATGCACTTACATAAATACACTTATATAATTGGTCGCATTGGGAGGTGATCGTAAAGCGGGGGTCCACTGTACATCAGACACAGTTAAAGGGTTAAGTTAATAATAAAGCTAGGTCTAAAAAATGTATATACAGTACACACATTACTTACCTTGAAATATTTTTACCCTTAGCTTATAGTGAGTGCTGAGTATATTTATTGTAGCAAGTCTGGATAAATGAAGAATGACTATAACTAAAAATTGCTGTAAAGTGGGGTCCTCTTGTATAAATGCACTTTTTTTTTACTTTATAAGTGCTGCTCGATTTATGATGGGGTTGTGTTCCAGAGAACCCATCATAAGTACTGTAACTTATTACTGTAACTAAATACCAGTATTGAAAAGTCAGTAAACGAATACACGTTAATCCCGTCCTATTGCACCAAAGTCAAAATATACATTGCATACTAATGACCTTGTTTTTTTGTGTGTGTACCATTTTTTATTACTTGTAAATTATATTATCTTTGTACATCACAAAGAAATATAAATTTGCATTTGTTTAGTAATAAGAGAATTCATGTTTGAAAAAAAATTTCATTTGCAGTGACTTGAATAGAAGATTATATAGAAATGTCTACAATGATATAAATCTAAATAATTTTTTTTTTTTTCAGAGTTCAGTGTCTTCAGTTGTTCAGGAATGCGTGAAAGTTCATACTGGAACAAAAAGGTTCTGACAGTGTAAATAATCTGACTATGTTATGAGTCTTCGGGTGCATTATAATTGTTTTTAGAGTTGTTTTTGTATATAACTTTTTAAGGAATTAAAGCAGAGATGAGTTATCCTGACGGTAAATCAAGTATGGGTTATCCCGACAGTAGGGCAGGTATTGGTTATCCAGATGGTAAATCAAGTATAGGTTATCCAGATGGTAAATCAAGTATTGGTTATCCAGATGGTAAATCGAGTATAGGTTATCCGGATGGTAAAGCAAATATGGGTTATTCACATGGTAAAGCAAGTATGGGTTATCCAGGTGGTAAAGCAAGTATGGGTTATCCAGATGGTAAAGCAAGTATGGGTTATCCAGATGGTAAAGCAAGTATGGGTTATCCGGATGGTAAATCGAGTATGGGTTATCCAGGTGGTAAATCAAGTATGGGTTATCCGGATGGAAAATCAAGTACGAGTTATCCGGACGGTAAATCAAGTATGAGTTACCCGGACAGTAAATCAAGTATGAATTATTCAGACGGTAAATCAGGCATAGGTTATCCAGATGGTAAAGCAAGTATAGGTTATCCAGACGGTAAAGCAAGTATAGGTTATCCAGACGGTAAAGCAAGTATAGGTTATCCAGACGGTAAAGCAAGTATAGGTTATCCAGATGGTAAATCAAGTATGGATTATCCAGATGGCAAATCAAGTATGGATTATCCAGAGGGTAAATCAAGTATGGATTATCCAGAGGGTAAATCAAGCATGGATTATCCAGAGGGTAAATCAAGTATGGATTATCCAGAGGGTAAATCAAGTATGGATTATCCGGAGGGTAAATCAAGTATGGATTATCCAGACGGTAAATCAGGTATGGGTTATCCGGATGGTAAATCAGGTATGGGTTATCCGGAGAGTGAAACAACCATAACATATCATGAAAATGATCCCAATATAAGTTATCTGGAGAGCAAAGTAAACATGAATTTCCAGGAAAGTTTAGCCAACATGGATTTCCAGGACAGTAGCGCAAATGTAAGTTATCAGGAGAGCCTAGTCAATATGCACTTTCAAGAAAGTACAGTAGATGAAAGCTTTGAGGACAGTAAAGCTAATATCACTGTCGGCACTAAAAAAAAGCCTTACCAGTGTCCGGTGTGTTTTAAGAAGTTCTCATTTAGCTGTCGTCTGACGATACATCAGAGGATCCACACTGGGGAGAAGCCCTATCAGTGCTCTGAGTGTCTCAAAAACTTCAAGGATAAATCTGCTCTGACGCAGCATAAAAAAATCCACACGGGGATCAAGCCGTTTCCCTGTTCAGTGTGTCAGAAAAGTTTTAAGAGGAGAAGTCACTTGATGACACACATGAAAGTTCACACAGAACGGGTGACACATAAGTGTTCAGAGTGTCCAAAGCAATTTACAATTAAAACTGCCCTTGATAAACACATGAGAATACATACTGGAGAAAAACCGTATCATTGTCCGATATGTTTAAAGTCCTTTAAGTTTAGCTTTAACCTTAAGACACATCAGAGAGTTCATACAGGGGAGAAGCCGTATCATTGTTCAGAGTGTCTAAAAGACTTTCAGGATAAATCTACCCTAAAACAACATAAGAGAATTCATACAGGAGAAAAACCATATCAGTGTACAGTGTGTCAAAAAGAATTTAAACAAAGAGGTCACCTTGTGACGCACATGAGGGTTCACACAAGAGAGAAACCATACCAGTGTTCGGTGTGTTCCAAAGAGTTTTCTGTAAACTCATCTCTGGTTAAGCACATGAGGCTTCACACGGGTGAGAAACCATACCAATGTTCTGAGTGTTGGAAGTCGTTTCCTCGACACTGCTCTCTGATTCAACACATGGCTCTACACTCGGGACACAAACCATACACCTGTTCTGAGTGTCAGAAAGATTTCTCCACCAAATCAAATCTAATAGATCACATAAAGATCCACACAGAAGATAAATCGTATAATTGTTCAGTATGTTCCAAAAGTTTTTCACGACGATTTCGCTTAGCAAAACACATCCGTAGTCACAACAGAGAACAACCTTATCGGTGTTCAAAATGTCTGAGGGGTTTTTTATACAAAACCAATCTTGTAAATCACATGAGAACTCACATACAAGATAGGATAGATAGCAATGTTCAATGTCTTAAAGACTTCAGGATAATCTCGCCGTATAAGGCATACGAGGACTCTGCCTCCAGCAGGGAGACCTCTGACATGAAGGATACTGATAAAGAAACACAGGATCACAGTGACAATAGTAGTTGAGCTCGACATGTCACATCGAAATTCATAAAATATTTACACTTACGACTGAACGACAATGTAACAAGATGAATTCAGTTTCAACAAGAGTGCTGCTAAAATGCTACCTTTATCACCTTAATAAAGTTAAACTTTACATTAAAGTTCAAAAAACAAATGAAATCTGCCAGCAAAACATTAATATTTATATTTGCATGGTTAAAAATTATTTGCAGAAATTTTAACATTGAATTTGGCTGCAAATTTTATGCTACAACCATGAATATTTTTTTATTTAATAATAACATAATTCATGTAGAATCAAGGTTCATGTAAAATCAAGGTTCATATAGAATCAAATCTTGATTATTTCATATAATTGCTACAGTAGATATCTGTACTGCTAGGTCTCAATTAGTGCACATTCAAATACTAGTGTGAATTTCGATGTAATGCAAAATTGATTAATTCTAGTTCTCCCCACAATCTTCAAATATTGCACAAAAATTATATATACCATATTTTCTGGTATATATAAGGTGCGCCTTTTCCCTACAAAAAGTCTTTGAAAATCAGTCTGCGCTTTACATGCTCAAGGTCTGGGTCAAGGGTCGGCTTTGTTATGATTTAGCAGTTGTTTACTAATGTTACAACTGTTTGCAAACATCGTCTTACATGCTCATGCATATTATATGCCGGAAAATACAGTGCCTTATTTTGTGGCATATAAGACGTTTTTTTTTTTTTTTTTTTATTTATTTTTTTTTTAAATCTGACCCTCAAAATTGTGCCCTACACAGTGAAGATCAGTCTTGAGGTCAGGCTTGGGGTCATGGTTGGGATCAGGCTTGGGTTCACGCCTGGGGTCAGGCTTGGGATGTACGAATAATTCCATTTAACTGGCTAGAAAATTCCCCTCGAAGTTTATTTGTCCAACACATTTTGTGCAAAATTTGTGGTGCGTCTTATATGCTGTAAAATACTGTAATTCAAATCGTGCGAATTTGAATAATGCGACCAGTCCACAGGATCCATTATTCACACTAATCAAGACCTGGCTGTATTTTAACCCTTTGGCTGTTTCGGTCATATATATACCTCTTACGAGCAAGTGTTTCTGACATATTTATACTCCAAAATTCTAGCGGTTTCAAATTAAGCAGGAGAAAGCTGGTAGGCCCACATGTGAGAGAATAAGTCTGTGTGGTCAGCGTGTGCAGTATAAAAAAAATCCTGCAGCACGCAGTGCATAATGAGAAGAAGAAATTCCGACAGTGTTGTTGGATTAAAATGCCGACTTTGAAGTTTATTTTCATAAAGTATTTATAATTGTATTATCGTTTTCTTGGTCTCATTTGATAGAATGGAAGACATATTACAGAAATGGAGATGATTTTGAATAGTTTCATGATGAAAAGGACCTTGAAATTCAGCTCAAAGTAGTGGAAATGTTCGATTTTTGCTGATGTTCAAGAGTAAAGGAATCATGCCACGCGTCCGATACACATCAACTGGTGAGTCTAATATTCTTTCACAAGTGCACTCATATTATTTATACCATTTTTACAATAATGCATTAGTCTACATAACAGTAAATCTTCCTATTTTTTATGTGAATAAAAACTCAAAATAGAAAGCAAGAGTAATAAAAGAGGGGCCAGGAGATGTGACTGATGAACAGAGAAAATGTTATTTTAGTGCCAGGAATGTCTGCATTGTTTATTCTGGACCCTATTTTGAAATTGGCATCTTTTTTAATTTGCATGAAAATGCCCAAATTGCCAATTTGTGACCACTTTATTGGGTAGTTGAAATTGGTAAATGGACAGTTTCTTGTACTCAATTGATAGAATAAATGGAGTTCTAAAGAAATAGCTTTGACCTTGGTCGACTGGAACAATGGAATTGGCCGAAAATAGGGCTCAAAGTGGGCAAAATTGCCGATGCGTATATATCGCTGAGATTGCTAACTTTGCGAGAGCGTAATTCTGTAAGTTTTCCATCAAATTTCATACTTTTGGTGTCATTACCATCTGGAAAAGATTCTCTATCATTTCATAAGTTTTTTTTTTTTTTTTGGGGGGGGGGATATTTTGCGACACGAGACACTTCGGGATTTCGGGGTTGCAACAGTCAAAGGGTTAATCAATTGCAAAAAAAAAGCACATGTATCAAACCAGTTGAGGTAATTCTCGTTTGCAAAACCTAGTAGTGTGTACACACGGCGTGTTTATATTTATTTAACTCTTTGTAATGTGCGTGAAATACAGGGTGTTTCAAAGAGATGGACCCCGTCATGATATACATGTATACTGTTTTGAAATTGGGTCCATCAGTTTGAAACGTGTATATTACCAGCCACAAGTCAATCTCCGCCATGGCTGCCAAATTCGTTCTTGTGCAATTCCATAAATATTGCATCGGATTGGAGTTTGTAGCATTACCTTTAAAAAAAAAAAAAGCTTCTCTGTTATTTAGAAGATAAGATGTTTTTATTTTTCAAATTTCTGGACACAGAAGCGGCTTTCAATTTGTGGAATTTTTTTGATAATTTTTTTTTCTGACTTTCATCAAAATATATTCAGCAAAAATACTCATACTTCCGTGTGTCCTGGTTGTTGTTTGGTTAAAGGGTTGTGGTGACCTTATAGTTGCCGTTTTTTTTTTTTCTTAACACATCGACCGTTTCCCACCAAGGCAGGGTGACCTGAAAAAGAAAAACACTTTCATCATCATTCATTCCATCACTATCTTGCCAGAGATGCACTTATACTACAATTAAAAAACTGCCACATCACACCCGTCCTTCAGAGTGCAGCCACTATACTTTCCACCTCCAGTACTCAAGTCCACCTAACCAGTTACTCTGAATCCCTTCCTGTTACTTTGCTCACACTAAAACAGCACGTCAAATCATAAAACCATTTATCTCCACTTCCTCCTATCTAATAGGCTCACACACATTTGCTGGAAGTCAAAGCCCCTCACACACAAAACATCCTTTACCCCCTCCCTCCAACCTTTCCTAGGCCGACCCCTACCCCACCTTCCCTCCACTACTGATTTATACACACTCGAAGTCATTCTGTTTCATTCCATCCTCTCTAAATGTCCAGACCACCTCAACAACCCCTTCTCAGCCCTATGGTTAATAGTTTTTGTAATCCCACACGTCCTCCTAATTTCCAAACTACGAATTCTCTGCATTTTATTCACACCACACATTGCCCTCAGACGGCATCTCCACTACCTCCAGCCTCCTCCCTCCCTCCCTCCACCGCCTCCAGCCTTCTCTTTGTTGCAACACTCATCACCCATACTTCACACCAATATAGGATCATTGGTACCACTGTACTCCCATACATTTCCCTCTTTGCTTCCATGGATAACATTCTTTGTCTCCACAGATTCCTCAGTGCTCCACTCACCTTTTTTCCCTCGTCAGTTCTATGAATCTCCTCATTGGGGTATATTAACCTAACCCTCAAAAAGCAGCTTAGTAATATTGAGTGGGTATATTCCATTAAAACCTGAATGTAGTGCTTTTGTTAGAGAAGGAGGGGAAGTTTTGTGTGTGTGTGTGGCAAGTGTACTCACCTATTTGTGGTTGCAGGAGTCGAGTCACAGTTACCGGCCCTTCCTCTTTACTGTATGAGAGTGGGTTTGAACTAGGCAAGAGGAAATTAAATTTGTTAATTTTTAACACAGCGGCTGTCACCCACCAAGGGAGGGTGACCCGAAAAAGAAGAAACACTTGATCATCATTCACTCCACCACTGTAAAATAATATTTCTAAGGACATTATTTATAGTATTTGTTAGGTTATTATTCATATATTTATATGTCCTAAGGTAGTAGGTTGGTAGACAGCAACCACCCCGTTAGGTACTACCATCCTGTGGTAATAGGTTGGTAGACAGCAACTTACCAGGTAGGTACTACCATCCTGTGGTAGTAGGGTGGTAAACAGCAACCACCCAGGTAGGTACTACCATTCTGTGGTAGTAGGTTGGTAGACACCAACCACCCAGGGAGGTACTACCATCCTGTGGTAGTAGGTTGGTAGATAGCAACCACCTAGGTAGGTACTACCATCCTGTGGTAGGAGGTTGATAGACAGCAACCACCCAGGTAGGTACTACCATCCTGTGGTAGTTGGTTGGTAGATAGCAACCACCCACAGATGTACTACCATCCTGTGGTAGTACTACCATCCTGTGGTAGTACTACTGTCCTGTGGTAGTACTACTGTCCTGTGGTAGTACTACTGTCCTGTGGTAGTACTACTGTCCTGTGGTAGTAGACTGATAGACAGCAACCACCCAGGGAGGTACTACCATCCTATGGTAGTTGGTTGGTAGACAGTAACCACCCAGGGAAGTACTACTGTCCTGTGGTAGTAGACTGGTAGACAGCAACCACCCAGGGAGGTACTACCATATTGTGGTAGTTGGTTGGTAGACAGCAACCACCCAGGGAGATACTACTGTCCTGTGGTAGTAGGTTGGTAGACAGCAACCACCTAGGGAGGTACTACCATCCTGTGGTAGTTGGTTGGTAGATAGTAACCACCCAGGGAGGTACTACTGTCCTGTGGTAGTAGGTTGGTAGACAGTAACTGCCCAGAGAGGTACTATGGTCCTGCCAGATGAGTGTAAAATGGAAACCTGTAATTGTTTTACATGATGGTAGGATTGCTGGTGTCTTTTATCTGTCTCATAAACAGGCAAGATTTTAGGTATGTCTTGCTACTTCTATTTACACTTAGGTCACACTACGCATACATGTACAAGCATATACAGTGGACCCTAGGATAACGACATTAATCCATTCCAGAGAGCTTGTCTTTAACCGATTTTTTCGTTATCCGAATTAATTTTCCCCGTAAGAAATAATGGAAATCCAATTAATCCGTTCCAGACACCCAAAAGTATTAAACAAAATAATATTTTACATGAAATATACATTTCCCTACACAGAAAACAATGAGATATGCAGAATAAACAATACTGAAATGACACTTACCTTTATTGAGGACTTAATGATGAGTGATGAGATAGGAGGAGGGCAGAGGATGGAGGAGTTTACAATTGTTTGGAAGGGTTACCACCCTTCTTTGTTTTTAATGCCACTAGGACCAGCTTGAAAGTCACTGGACCCCTGTCGCACCAAAAATCTGCCCAGAGAGCTCTGCTTCTGGTGTCTCTTTAAGATTTCCCTAAAATGGGACACAATATTGTCATTGTACATGTTGCCAATACGGCCTGCAACAGCTGTGTCAGGGTAATGTTCATCCATAAATGCTTGCACCTTTGTCCACATTGTACAAATGTCCTTAATCTTTGACAAAGGAAACTTCTTCCATCTCTCTTCCTCCTCCTCTGAAGGAAATTCCTGAGCTGTGGTCTGTTGCTGTTGCACCTCAAGCTCTTGCAGCTCTGTAGTGGTTATCTCTTCATTGTCGTCCTCCACCAACTCTTCCACATCCTCATCACTAGCCTCCAACCCCATGGACTTCCCCAATGCCACAATAGATTCCACAACTGGCATAGGCTCCTCAGGGTTAGTCCCAAACCCTTCAAAATCCCTCTCTTGTACACATTCTGGCCACAGTTTTCTCCAAGCAGAGCTCCAAGTCCTGCAAGTCACTCCCTCCCAAGCTTTACCTATAAGGTTTATGCAACTGAGGATATTGAAGTGATCTTTCCAGAACTCTCTTAGGGTCAATTCAGTGTCTGAGGTCACTTAAAAGCACTTTTGAAACACTGCTTTGGTGTACAGTTTTTTGAAGTTTGAAATGACCTGCTGGTCCATGGGCTGGAGGAGAGTTGTGTTAGGAGGCAAAAACTTGACTTTGATAAAACTAAACTCCCCCACAATTCGCTCTTCCAAGTCTTGAAGCTGAGCAGGAGCATTGTCCATTAACAGGAGGCACTGGAGTGGCAATTTATTTTCCAGGAGGTATTTTTTTTCACACTGGGGCCAAACACGTCATAGAACCAATCAAGGAAACTACCCCTGGTTACCCATGCCTTACTGTTTGCTCTCCACATCACACACAATTTAGTCTTGACGACACTGTTTTTCTTGAACACTCAGGGAGTTTCAGAGTGATACACGAATAAAGGCTTCACTTTGCAATCCCCACTAGCATTACTACAAACCATGAGAGCTAGCCTGTCTATCATAGGCTTGTGTCCTGGGAGTGCCTTTTCCTCCTGAGTAATGTAGGTCCTGTTTGGCATTTTCTTCCAAAACAGGCCTGTTTCATCACAATTGAACACTTGTTGGGGTTTTAATTTTTCAGCCTTTATGTACCCCTTAAAGTCCTGCACATATTTTTCAGCCGCTTTTTTGTCAGAACTGGCAGCTTCACCATGCCTCATCACACTGTGTATGCCACTACAATTCTTAAATCTCAAACCAGCCTTTGCTGGCCTTAAATTCATCAATATGAGCACTATTTGGAGGCATTTTCTTAATGAGATTCGCATGCCTTTCACATATTATTGACTGAGAAACACTATCTCCTAATACTGTAATTGTTTCTTGTTGATCCACACCAACAACAGTCTCTCCACATCTTCGAGTATTTGCGATCTCTGTTTTGTAAGCACACTTGCACCTTTCGCAACAACAGCTTCTTTGATTGCCTTTTTGTTGGCCAAGATAGTAGTGATGGTTGAATGGGGTTTGTTATATAACCTGGCCAACTTGGAGACACGCACTCCACTTTTGTATTTTGCGATGATCTCTTTCTTCATTTCAATAGTATTTCTCACCCTCTTTACCACAGGGCTGGCACTAGAAGCTTTCTTTGGGCCCATGGTGGCTTATTTAACAGTTACAAGCACTGAAAACAATGGAATAATACAAAATATGTCGCATGTACATGTGGAATCATCCTCACTGGCTTGTAAACAATGGCACACTGGCTGTACATGGAGTAGCAGGGTGGCTCAGACCGTGCGGACACGGATGAGTGTCTTCAACCGAGTTCTTTTTCGGTAACCGAGCCAATATTTTGACGCAAAAATGTGTCGCTATCTGATTTTTTTGTTATCCAATGACATCGTTACCCAAGGGTCCACTGTATATACACACCCCTCTGGGTTTTCTTCTATTTTCTTACTAGTTCTTGTTTAATTCCTCTTATCTCCATGGGGAAGTGGAACAGAATTCTTCCTGCGTAAGCCTTGTGTCTTAAGAGGCAACTAAAATGCCACTAGAATGTATATATTACTAAATTTAAAAGGAGAAACTATCGTTTTTCCTTTTGGGCCACCCTGCCTCTGTGGGATATGTCCAGTTTGTTGAAAGATGAAGGCAGGATAAGGGGTCATCCTAGGAATGGCTGGAGGGTTTTTGTGTGTGAGGGGCTTGAACTTCCAACAAGTGTGCATGAGTGTGTTAGAAGTGACGTGGTTTTTATGACGACATATTGTTGGAGTATGACCAAAGTAACATGAAGGGATTCAGGGAAACCAGTTAGCCGGACTCGAGTCCTGGAGGTGGGAAGTACAGTGCTTGCACTCTGAAGGAGGGGTGGAGATATGTTACAGTTTTTGAACTGTAGTATCAGCACTTCTCTGGCAAGACAGGGATGGAGTGAGTGATGATGACGAAAGAATGTCTTCTTTTTCGGGTCACCTGCTTTGCTCAGACTGACTTTTGTCTGGTAATATACAGTGTACATGTATAATAAGTGTGTTACAGCATGAGAATTGTCTTCAAGAATGTGCTGTACATTGCATTCACAGAAACAGGGATAGATAATGATTATGGTAATAACCTATTTCCCCATTTTTATGGGTTTGGGCATCTTAGTGCCCCATCATCAGGGGGCAGTGTACTACGCTCACCTATAATAATAATGTTTATTTCTACAAGTACATGATACAACTTGTATAGACCATAGCTGACATCACTGACATGCTATATAGAAAGTCCCTGGCTATACAGACCATAGCTGACATTAATGACATACTCTACAGAAAGTTCCTGGTTATGCAGAGCATTTCCAGCGATTTAGGTTAATTTTGTCCCCAGGATGCCACCCACACCAGTCCACTAACACCCAGGTACCTACTTACTGCTAGGTGAACAGGGACAACAGATGTCTTAAGGAAACACATCCCAGTGTTTTCATCCATACCAAGGATTGAACCACAGACCTCAGTGTGTGAGGCGAGTGCGCTACCAACCCAGCCATGGGACACTTTCACTCTGACTCATCTCACATAATAAGAGAATTCTCTGCTTCCCTGTTTCTATTTCACAATTCTTCATTCTAATAATTATCCTGTGTGTGTGTGTGTTCCCTTATTCATTTCATCTCCCTTCTTTAATATATAATGAAATGGTTATAATTATGTATTACTATAATTTTTAAAGGGGTGGAGTGGTTAGCCAGTAGAAAGCCTCAGTCAGACGACCAATAACTCCAGCTGTGGGTCATCATCTGACTAAGACCCACGTCAGGAAGCACTTGTCATGTCTCCTGACAAATCTTACCTAAATTATCCTAACCTAACCTTTCCTTAGCTTACCCAACATTACCTTACCTTACCTTACCTTACCTTACCTTACCTTACCTTTACCTTTACCTTTACCTTTACCTTACCTTACCTTTAAGAAATACATAGAGAAATAATTTAGAAAGTTACTGATGGAGTATGGAGTATGGTTTAAATAAGTGACCCACTGATCAGATCAGATAGACTGGTCCGAACCCTTGACTGGTCCGAACCCTTGACTGGTCCGAACCCTTGACTGGTCCGAACCCTGGACTGGTTTCAAACGGTTTCGTTGTGCACCACCTAGCAGGTTATTAATAGAATATTCAAGAGGTTGCTAGTAGAATTGCAGTAAATCAACCATTCAAATCATTATGAAGCTGTGTGTAGTCTGTGGTCAGTCAAACAAACGGGCTTCCACATGCATAAATTGTCATTTCTGTGGAAATTGGTGTCACGCCCCTTGTGCAGATATCCAAGAACTAGCTACAAGCAGTATTAAAACAGGGAAGTGTTTTTGGGTATGCCCAAATGAGATAAATCTGTGGACTAAAATCACAAGGGTATTAAAAGAGGTCAACATCAAAGCTGCTTTCATAGAAAACCTGGAAGCTTTCTACAACAGATGGGAACATAAAAAGTCCGGGCTGAATGGTACTGCCCTTGATACTGGCCATGTAGTCAGAAACTGTAAGGCTGGAGATGATGTCCTGGTAGTCAGTAAATGGGGGGCTGATAGTGCTGTCCTGGGAGACAGTAATGGGGAAGCTGGAGGTGCTGTCCTGGGAGACAGTAATGGTGAAGCTGGAGGTGCTGTCCTGGGAGACAGTAATGGTGAAGCTGGAGATGCTGTCCTGGGAGACAGTAATGGGGAAGCTGGAGATGCTGTCCTGGGAGACAGTAAATGGTGAAGCTGGAGATTTTGTCCAGGTAGTCGGGAATTATACGCAGGAAGGAATACATATGAATGACCTCATAGGGGACAGGAGCCATAGTAGGGAAACAAGTGTAGTCAAAGATAAGATAAAACCAATATTGCAAACTAGAAATACCGCAGGAAATAGCAAACAAGAGGACTCCACTAGCAATAGTGAGGATATATTACCAAAAACAAAGGGTGGGAGCTCCATTGTTGGTGCTAGGGAGGATAGAAGTAAGACAGGGAAACATGCACCAACAGGGAATACAGTCACAGAAACCCAAGGCAAACGGAAACCAAGCCTGTGCACATACTATGCACTCGGTATCTGCTGGCATGGGAAATCTGGAAAAAACAGATGGGACGTGCAACTATGACCACCCTAGGAAATGCCATGCCCATATGACAACAGGAAAATGCAAACTCCCTTCCTGTAAGCTTTTTCACCCTGAACTGTGTACCTCTTCAGTACAGGAAAGACTGTGCTATAATTTAAATTGCCAGGCATACCATCTAAAGGGGACAAAAAGATACAAAACATCCAGGCCATGGAAAACCTGGGTAGCCACAGCCACTCAGAGGGAGAGGTTTTTTAGTGCCAGGAAGGAAAAAAAACTGGCAGGAAATGGCAGAAATCGTACACCAAATCCAGTCATTCCTGGAGTGGAACCACAGTCGATGGCCTCCACTCCAAACCAACAGATACAGATACTAATGCCGGAAAAAAATCCCCCCCCAGTACCAACAATACCACCAGTCCGATAACATTCTTCTTTGCAAATATACAGGGTCTAAAGCCAGCAACAAACAACAAAATACCTTTCATCCGTGGACTGCTTGCAGAGGCAAAGGCAATGTTCGCGGCTTTCACTGAGACCCACATAAAGGATCACTTGGACAACGAAATATGGATCCCAGGTTACAACCTATACAGATGTGACAGAGTGAACAGGCAAAAGGGGGGGTTGGCCTGTACATTGCAGAGTCACTTGTTTGCACAGAACTGCTAAATGCCTCAAATGATGTAGTGGAAGTTTTAGCAGTAAAGGTCGAGAACCAAAACCTAGTCATTGTGATAGTCTACAAGCCTCCGGATGCAACATCCCAGCAATTCCAGGAACAGCTGTTAAAAATTGACCACTGTCTGGAAAACCTTCCAGCTCCTGCACCCAACATCTTGCTCCTGGGGATTTCAACTTAAGGCACCTAAAATGGAGGAATATAGCAAATAATATTGTTGCAGTAATAACACCAGGAGGCAGCTCTGATGAAAACTCACACTCACGCGAGCTTTTAAATCTCTGCACAAAATTCAATTTAAACCAGCAAATAATAGAGCCTACTAGACTGGAGAATACACTAGACCTCATCTTCACTAACAATGATGATCTGATAAGAAATATCACCATATCAAAAACAATATACTCAGATCACAACATAATTGAGGTTCAGTCATGTATGCGCGGAGCCCCAGACCGACATAAGGAGATTAGTCACGAGGGAGCATTCACCAAATTCAACTTCAATAACAAAAACATAAAGTGGGACCAAGTAAACCAAGTCCTAACCGATATAAGCTGGGAAGATATACTAAGCAACACAGACCCCAACTTATGCCTAGAACAGATTAACTCGGTAGCACTCGATGTATGCACAAGGCTTATTCCTCTAAGAAAAAGGAGGAGTAGATGTAAAACAGAAAGAGACAGGCGCTCCCTTTACAGGCGACGGAAAAGAATAACAGAGCGGCTAAAAGAGGTCAATATATCTGAAATGCGTAGGGAGACACTGGTCAGAGAAATAGCAAGCATCGAACTTAAGCTAAAAGAATCCTTTAGGAGTCAGGAATCGCGGGAAGAACTAAAAGCCATAAATGAAATCAAAAGAAACCCAAAGTATTTCTTCTCCTATGCCAAATCAAAATCGAGAACAACGTCCAGTATTGGGCCCCTACTTAAACAAGATGGGTCCTACACAGATGACAATAAGGAAATGAGTGAGCTACTCAAGTCCCAATATGACTCAGTTTTTAGCAAGCCGCTAACCAGACTGAGAGTCTAAGATCAAAATGAATTTTTTATGAGAGAGCCACAAAATTTGATTAACACAAGCCTATCCGATGTTATCCTGACGCCAAATGACTTCGAACAGGCGATAAATGACATGCCCATGCACTCTGCCCCAGGCCAGACTCATGGAACTCTGTGTTCATCAAGAACTGCAAGAAGCCCCTATCACGAGCCTTTTCCATCCTATGGAGAGGGAGCATGGACACGGGGGTCGTCCCACAGTTACTAAAAACAACAGACATAGCCCCACTCCACAAAGGGGGCAGTAAAGCAACAGCAAAGAACTACAGACCAATAGCACTAACATCCCATATCATAAAAATCTTTGAAAGGGTCCTAAGAAGCAAGATCACCACGCATCTAGAAACCCATCAGTTACACAACCCAGGGCAACATGGGTTTAGAACAGGTCGCTCCTGTCTGTCTCAACTATTGGACCACTACGAAAAGGTCCTAAATGCACTAGAAGACAAAAAGAATGCAGATGTAATATATACAGACTTTGCAAAAGCCTTCGACAAGTGTGACCATGGCGTAATAGCGCACAAAATGCGTGCTAAAGGAATAACAGGAAAAGTCGTTCGATGGATCTATAATTTCCTCACTAACAGAACACAGAGAGTAGTCGTCAACAGAGTAAAGTCCGAGGCAGCTACGGTGAAAAGCTCTGTTCCACAAGGCACAGTACTCGCTCCCATCTTGTTCCTCATCCTTATATCCGACATAGACAAGGATGTCAGCCACAGCACCGTGTCTTCCTTTGCAGATGACACCCGAATCTGCATGACAGTGTCTTCCATTGCAGACACTGCAAAGCTCCAGGCAGACATCAACCAAATCTTTCAGTGGGCTGCAGAAAACAATATGAAGTTCAACGATGAGAAATTTCAATTACTCAGATATGGTAAACATGAGGAAATTAAATCTTCATCAGAGTACAAAACAAATTCTGGCCACAAAAATAGAGCGAAACACCAACGTCAAAGACCTGGGAGTGATCATGTCGGAGGATCTCACCTTCAAGGACCATAACATTGTATCAATCGCATCTGCTAGAAAAATGACAGGATGGATAATGAGAACCTTCAAAACTAGGGAGGCCAAGCCCATGATGACACTCTTCAGGTCACTTGTTCTATCTAGGCTGGAATATTGCTGCACACTAACAGCACCTTTCAAGGCAGGTGAAATTGCCGACCTAGAAAATGTACAGAGAACTTTCACGGCGCGCATAACGGAGATAAAACACCTCAATTATTGGGAGCGCTTGAGGTTCCTAAAACCTGTATTCCCTGGAACGCAGGAGGGAGAGATACATGATTATATACACCTGGAAAATCCTAGAGGGACTAGTACCGAACTTGCACACGAAAATCACCCACTACGAAAGCAAAAGACTTGGCAGACGATGCACCATCCCCCCAATGAAAAGCAGGGTGTCACTAGCACGTTAAGAGACCATACAATAAGTGTCAGGGGCCCGAGACTGTTCAACTGCCTCCCAGCACACATAAGGGGGATTACCAACAGACCCCTGGCAGTCTTCAAGCTGGCACTGGACAAGCACCTAAAGTCAGTTCCGGATCAGCCGGGCTGTGGCTCGTATGTTGGTTTGCGTGCAGCCAGCAGCAACAGCCTGGTTGATCAGGCTCTGATCCACCAGGAGGCCTGGTCTCAGACCGGGCCGCGGGGGCGTTGACCCCCGGAACTCTCTCCAGGTAAACTCCAGGTTGAGAGAGGTGCCTTGAGTCTGGTGACTGTCTCTTGATCTAATGAATGGGAGCCATGTTCTACGTTCTTAGAGAGCAAAAAGGCACAGTACCATGACTGGAACAATACACAAATAACCCCGTATACGTGTATAGGGTCGAGTTACCCTGACCATTTACAGTCATACTGGGACTTTGTAAATGGTCCAAGTCGGACTGAAGTGCTGTTGTAAATTTCTCTCCCCTATGTGCGGGTTATTTTTGTAGTATTCCCCTTCCTCCGATCAAACCTGAGTATTATATCCCAGGTGCTATATGATCCCACAAAAGATAATTCACCCCAGTGGTATTTTAACCTTTTCACCGTCTCCCACATACAGTGGACCCCCGCTTAACGATCACCTCCAAATGCGACCAATTATGTAAGTGTATTTATGTAAGTGCGTTTGTACGTGTATGTTTGGGGGTTTGAAATGGATTAATCTACTTCACAATATTCCTTAAGGGAAAAAATTCGGTCAGTACTGGCACCTGAACATACTACTGGAATGAAAAAAGTTCGTTAACCGGGGGTCCACTGTATATGTCACTGATGACAGTGTTATTGATGTGTATCTACGTTTTAATTGCAGTGCTCTCATGAGAGGCTTTCGGGGGTCAATGCGTCTGTGGCCCGGCCTGTGACTAGGCCCCACGCGATGCATGATGGGAAAGGCAAACCTCTGACCTTATGTTTGGTTTAAATTAGTAATTCAGGTGTTTCTTGGTACCACTTGATAGACTGGAAGACATACTATAGAAATAGGGTTGATTTTAGTTGGTTTCAGACCAATATAGCTTGAAATAAAGCTCAAAGTGATGGATATATTAAATTTTTTGAGATTTTCCTGCGGAAGGGCCCTCCACCCACCCCAAGTCTATTTTATGTTTTTATCTAGGCCTATTTCAATTATTTGGAAGGCTTAAACCAAGACCTATCATTCTTGGTTATATTTTGTTATCTGAGAAATATTCACCTTTTTTTGTTTGATGATCTGTTCAAAAATGGAAGGTAAATGTTATATAGGAGAGGCCTAGGGATGTAATTGATAAACACAGGATATTTTGCTTTAGCGGCTGGAATGTTTACATTGTTTATTTTATACTGTTTTTTAATTGGAATTGATTTAATTTTGTGTAAAGTTGCTCAGATTAATTCTGTGCACTTAATAGGGTAGTTCTGATAGAACAAAAGACATGCAGTAGCCTGGAACCTAACCTGATGTATAAAAAGGGCCCTACAATAGCCTGGAACCTAACCTGCTGTATAAACAGGACCCTACAGTAGCCCAGAACCTAACCTGTTGTATACACAAGACCCTCCTGTACTAGCAAAATAGCTAGAAATTGAGTCAAATTGATCAGTGGAATTGGCTGAAAATAGGACTCAAAGCTGGCGAAATTGCCAATGGGTAAGTTTCACCCAGATTAACAAATAACAAGAAAAGGCACAATACCATGACTGGAACGACACACAAATAACCCGCACATAGAAGAGAGGAGCTTACGACGACATTTCAGTCTGACTTGGACCATTTACAAAGTCACACCAACCAGAAGTGGAGCAGGATGGCTATATATAGGCAGGAGGAGGAGGAGGAGCCGGAGGAGGAGGAGGAGCCGGAGGAGGAGGAGGAGCCGGAGGAGGAGGAGGAGCCGGAGGAGGAGGAGGAGCCGGAGGAGGAGGAGGAGCCGGAGGAGGAGGAGGAGCCGGAGGAGGAGG